TCAGTCTATTGCAATGAAATTTTTGTTACAAATAACAAAAACACACCCATTCTCTACAAAGTACTACAATTGTATTACAATATTGCACGTCTTGAAACACGACCAGTTTTTAAAATTGTTTACAAAAGGAAATTATTGATACTAAAAAATCGAATGATATGAATATGATTAAAATAAAGGGGATGGTCAAAAGATATGAGAAAAAGTTTTTCAAACATTTATTAAAATATGTAAAATATGTATCTTTCTATGCAGTACATTCTTCTTAAAATGCTAAATATTTTATTGATTATTGTTTTCAATTCTTTCGAAAAATATTTACTTTATTATTAGCAATTAGTTAAATATTAGTTCCATGTAAATACGTAGAAAATTTACAATAACATTTGTTTTATTTATCATTTTTTATAAAATCAATTGCATTTTCAAATATGTAGTATATTTTAAGTTGTAGTTTATAACTAAAAAAAATTTGCGCATCAACATTAATTGATGTTAGGACGCAGTTGTAATTGAAAAGAAATATTCAATTTATTGAAATTATTTGCAATGTACTAACAAAAATATATCAATAAAATATTTAAAAATAATTTAAAAAAAGCTTCTTTACATAAAGATATGTTAACAAAGAAAAAATTGATTAATATATAAAATAAAATATGGGCTTATCAGCTTTATTCCGGCAAATGTTTGTGTGTTTGTGTAGCCCTTTAGGCTTGAAGGTTGTTTAAAAAATAAATTTGTAAGTGCCGTTGAAGTTCTACCAAATGTTATCTTCACCACAAAGTAAAAAACTTGAGTTATTTATATCTTACAAATAAGGAAAATTATGATAAATATATCCAGAAAAAGCTTAAGTTGGAAGAGAAAGAAATGTGAAAGCTTTTTGGTGATTGTTTACAATATTAAATGACTGAAAATACCTCAGTTTATTATTCAATCTTATTGATTATTATTGATAAATATTTTTAAATTAAGAAATTATAGGATTTTTATGAATATTAATGCCAATAGGTATATATTATTAGTTTAAAAAGGAAATGTAGAATTAAAAAATTTAACTTTTTACAAATTATTTATTCTAAATTTCTATCGTTCTAATTACTATTTAAAAATTAGGTCAAAACTTTTATTTAATACTATAAAAGTAAGAATGTTTTAATGAAAGTGAAAATAAATGAGACATTCAATATTATCGAATGTGTCTGCTCTGCTCTGTCTAGTTGTCTAGATAAAAACTGGCATGTGTTGGCATTAAATACCTTTCACTATATACAATGATTCCTAGATTGAGGTAGTAAACAAACATATCTGCCCTTTTGTTTTTTTTGGCATATTTTCAAAGTTTTTTGAACAAATATGTTTTCATGCAAATTTTGTAGTAGTTAAGACACTGTGCGTGTTTTTAAAAAAAATCTTATAATATTGACCGGTGTTGCCAGATGTCGATGTTAAAAAATGCAGGATAAATGAAAAAATTCGTTTGCTTCGTTTTCGAAATATTAGCCATTCGTTTACAAATTTATTTATCAATTCCATCTAATGTCAAAAAAATCGAAGTGGATTATTTACAAATTGTTAGTACTTATTCGGGTTCTGCATAAGGTTCAATAGTTGAAACATGAAGTAAAATTTTTGTATTTTTTAAAAATCGATTTTTCGAATTCTTGCGTTGTATGAAAGGAGGATTTTCGACTTTTGTGTTTTATGAGAAGTCAACTTTTCGAATGGGAAGTCTTTTTTATTGATTATTTTCGACCATTCGACTTTTTTCGATTCTTTTTGACTTTTCAAAAAAGTGAACTTCGACTTTTCCGGCGAAAAGTCGATTCTTCGATTATTTGAAAGTCGATTTATAGAACCCTAATTCTAAAGTTGAAACAGGCTTTTCGAATTTTTAATTTAAGAAAAGTATGTCTTTTAACAATTTTGAAATTGACTAAATTTTGGACTTTTTTCGATTTCTTTCACCTTTTCGCTTCTTTTTCAATATTTATGATAAAATATAATGTATGTATCTGTTACCTTAGGTCTAAAGTTGAAACAGACTTTTCGACATTTTAATTTAAGAAAAGTTCGACTTTTTAAAATTTTGAAATTGACTAAATGTTGAACTTTTTTTCGATTTCGTTCACCTTTTCACTTCTATTCAATATTTATCATAAAATATTAAAATGAAAAAATATTTGCAATAAAAATTGAAGTATTATTGAATTAATTGTTTAAGTTTAAAACATATTTTAACATTTTTTATTTTTATCGACATTTTCGAACTTTTTTCGACAAAAATTCTATTGTTTGTATGACGATTTATTGAACCCTACCATAGATTTTTCAATTGGGAATAATGAAAAATTAATACATCTGGCAACCCCATGTTATCCACTTGCCATAAAAATCAAAACAAAAACAACACATATTTCCATTTTAATAATAAATTTTAGCTTTCCCAAAATTTTGTTCTTATTTTTGATATAAAAAACATATTTATTACACATATTAAAAATAACCTAATTTAAGAATAATATAAAAAGAAAACAACAACAACTTGCAGAAAAATCGTATTCCTTTTGACATTGAAAAAGCAGGTTATTTTTTTCTTCGCCAAATAAAAGAGAAATAACAAAAAACGAATTTTGTATTTTACATTATTTACAAAAAAAAAATCAACAATTTCAAGCAAAAAAATTTAGTATGATGTAAAATTTTTAAAAGCATTTTTTATATCATAATTTTTACAATAAAAGCACAAATAAATATACAGAAAATAAGGAAACAAAAACAAAAGCGGAAAAGTATTGTAGAAAAAAAAAAAGATAAAGAACTTTTTTTATGTGTTAAACCCTTTGCAGAATTTTTCAAAGAAATATGTGTTACGATGTTTTATTTTTCGATAGTATTTTTAAAGAAATTTTAACATATAACTCACCTTTTTGCAAATTCGTACATACGTAGGCTCCAGTTTATAATGAAATGTTTCAGGTTTTTTATTTTTTTCTTATTTTATTTTGATAAAAACTTGAAGAAAAATATTTTTCTAATGAAAAATTCCTTTGACAGCACCACACACTACACAAGAAATGGCGATTTTTTTGTTTTTCTTTACACTTTTGTTCTTTCATATTGCTTTTTTCGTTTTATTTTTTTCACTTTACACTTTATTTTTTATGTTCTACCATCAGGCATGTGGGTTGAACAAGGACAACACTATAGATGCGCACGTGTGTGGTGGTATACATTTAAAAATCTGCACAGAAAGACAACAACAACATAAACGTGACGATGACAGTCTATTGTGAATGTAAAGTTTTTCTATACATAACAACAGAGGCGGGCTTTTAAATAGCAAATTTGAAAATATGAAAAATTTAATGTTTATGTTTACTTTATTACTATTAAAATAAATAATCCTTTTATTACTGTTTCAAAATTGCTCTTACAAACAATATACTTTATTAACTAAGTATAGTCGGTCATGACGGACTATAAAAAGAATTTCGGAAGCTTTGAAATTGCGTTTGATCTAGAGAAAATAAAAAGCATTGAACATGGTGGCGGATACGTAATGGAATAGGGGTGATTTTTAGCTATGGCTTTGTACATCATTTATCTTGTAAGTGAATACTCTGCCTATTTGAACTTTAAATTATACTTTTATTGCATATTCTTTTGGAATTGTAATAAAAGCCTTTAAACTTTAAATTTGGATTAAACGCAATTTCAAAATTTTCTGAAAATTCTTCAATATTGTAACTTTGGAAACATGGCACTTTAAATAGGTATGTTTTGAAGTTAAGCTATGTAAGTATGTATACACGGTTGTCAGATCTTACAACGTTGGTAGATCTGGCAATGTACTGACAATGAAAAATGTTTAGAAACAGGTAAATTTTCAGTTCAAATGGTTGTAAGAAAACTTACAATTTTATTGCAAGTCGATCGTCAGATAATAAATTTAACTGCCAACAAAAAATGTCAGTTCACACTGTTGTCAGATTGTTTTTTGGCAAAAATTGCCGATCTTATTTTAGCTGCATATGTTCTTTTTATGCACCGTGTTCCCAATAGAAAATATTTATCTGACAATGATTCCATTGTCTGATGCATAAAATTCGCACATCTGACAATAAGAATTGTCTGGTAATGGCAACGTAATGTGTTTACAGGATTGTTAGATATTATTGTTTTACAATATACTGACAATGTTTTTTCTAACAACGTTGCAAGACAAAAATTGTAAGTTCACACGCTTGTTAGACAATTTCCGAACATTTTTCTGCCAACGTTATAAGATCTGACAACCGTATATATACAGCTATAGCTTTTCACATGAAATTCTGAATCATTTAGTTCATTTCGCCTCTATTTTATAAATATGCCAAAATTTGTTATAATTTTCTCTTAAAATTAATTTTTGAATTGAATGCTTGAAAGAAAGGCAATAGAGTTTTTTGGAATTTGTAGCGTTTTAGAAATTTTAGTGGTAATATATAATCTTTCTGATGATATAACAAAATTTTGTAAATAATTATTTCAAAAAAGGTCGCTAAACATTTGTCGCAAAAAAGGATCATGTCTCAGAATCTGAAAGCAAGAGTTTTAAGGATTTAACTCATTAAAACTGAAGAAGGCTTTATTATGTTGGGACTACGTGGATTCTACCTTTAGAGTTTCATTTTGATATAGGCATTTACACATCAATAAATACATATTACTTATGGCTTAATATTAACACACACATAAATCAAAAGAAAATCCTAACCAACATTGAAAATTTCTTTACCAGACGTTCTATTTAAATGGCCACCTCTGTAAACAGTCAAAAGAGCATTTCGTTGAAGAAATAAATTTAAATAAAATTGCTAAAAATAACTTACACAATTTTTCCTTTTCATGTTGTTGTCAATTAAATGTTTTTCAAAAAGATGCTGTAATTTTTTAAATATTTTTGTATACGAAAAAATTTTCTAATAAACTAAAGAAAAGCAAAAAACACTTACCATTTATTTATCCATAATAAATTGTATTTTTTTATTCTATTTTCTTTAACACTGTCTCCCTCGATCTCTCTAATTTTTGTTCTTTTCTTTCTGATTCCTTTTCGTTGCTAATAAAAACAAAAACAATAAAGTATTTTGCTCTCTCTCTCTTTTTCGTTCAAATTGTAGTAAAGAGAATATAAAGGAAAGAATAAAAACAATAGCAGCAAAATAAAAATAAATGAATTTGAATGAATTTTTTTTTATTATTCCTTTTTACACTTTTTTCATTTCTTTTATAATTTCTTCTTTGAAGATTCTTTTAACAATTTTCTTTTACACACAAATGCACTTTTCTTTTTCAGATGTTGTTTTTGTTGGTTTATTTTTTTTTTTTTTTTTGCTAAAACCCCAAAAAAGAAAACTTATATTTCTGGTTGCTTTAATAACTTTTATTTTATTATTTTTGCTTTTTTTAATTTCTCTTTTATTTTTTACTGCACACACAGGCTGTGTCATTTACACCACCACTACTACTTCTAGGAAAACACCACTTTTTTATAATCATTTAACAAAAAGTAAATAACAAAGAAAAAAGGATGAACTTTTCTTTATGCCGCACGGAAAATTGTTGTAACTTTGATGTTTTATTTTTTTTATTAATTATACCATAAATTTTTGGTAATTTAATGGAATCTTTACGTGTCCTCCTCACCAACCAAAAAACTCCTCTTTTCAACAGCTAGAATTTCAGTGATGACAATTGGTCGGTAAACCTAACGCGTACCGACACAAAAAGCTTACAATTTCACGAAAGTCTTAAGACATTCCAAAATTTTTCTAATATAATTTTTAACAATAGATTTTTTAATACATTTTATAACACTTTTTTAGCGCTGCCTTTTTACAATTTAATACTAGCAATTTTTTTCTTTAAATTTTTGCACCGAATTCCTAGTTTTAAATTGACATCACTGCTAGTATTTTTGTGTGAGAGAGTGTGTAAAAAGTCATCAAAGACAAATTGACACAATTAGATATTTTTTTGTCTACCAATTTTTCACTTGAAGTTTTTCTTTGATTTACTTTGTTTCACTTGTGGTTTTTATGTTTATTTTACACTATTGTTGGTATTCGAAATATTGCAACACTTTTTATTATATTTTTGTAGGAAATTGCCATAAAATTTTCGTATATTTGTATTACGAAAAAATTGTTGACGAAAAATGCGACCGAAAATATCAAGTACTTTTTCAGCGTTTATCGGTAGATGGTTAGTGCAGTGTTGTATTTATTGAGTACACTGAGAGAAATTAAAGTGTTTGTTTTGGAAAACGAATAATAGTGAGTTTAATCATGGAACAGTGGGAAAAGTTTTAAAAATCTGAATCAATCAAGATTTACAATCTGGTTAATATTTGTATATATAGTTTATAATCGAAAAGACTTTTCTTTTTTTAATAAGAATGTGTAAAAATTTCTTTCCGCTTTGGGTAGTTTAATTTTATTTCAATTTCATAATTTTCCGACAAGGGCTTAAAATATGAAGGCTATAGTCAGCCATGGTCCGATACTCAGAAATTTATGTAGGGAAATGAAAGTAGAATTCCATTGCTATATCGGTAGAGATGGGAAAAGGGTAAATACCCATGGTTTTCGTCTTTAAAATATCAAATTTTCCAACTACTGGGTAAATACCGGGTAGAACCCCATTTATATATATCGGAAATTTTATGATAGTTATAAGCTTTAAAGTCAATTTCTGAAAGGGTGCCTTGTATGGGGGTAGGGTTAATTATGAAAATTTTATTCAAAGATTTTGTTTTACAAAGGAACATTAAAGTCATTCTCTGAAGGGTACCTTCTATGGAGGTTAAGGTCAATTCAAGGTCGTTCATCATTTACAGAATAATTTCTGGCTACATAAAACTGACTTGTGCCAAATTTAAGAACATTTTGTCAATATTTAGGGGTTCATTCGGACTCTATAGTGATCTCAATAGTCAGACATGATGGATGGACGTTGCTAGATCGTTTTTCAATTTGATATAATCCCAGAATATAGTATAAATATGGAATGTTTAGCGATGCAAATGCGAAACTGACTAATAAATTTTATTTTTTTACGAATGCAAATAGTATATAGTAACTTTGAATATAAAAGTGAGATTGATAAAAATACGTAATTTATTTTGATGAAAAATCAGGTTTTAACAACATTTTACATCATAATATACAACTAAATAGTATTCTCTAAAGCATTCGTTAAGATTTAACGAATGCGAAAGTAAAAACATATATTTACATTATACGGAAAAAGAATATTTTTACATGTAACGGAAAGACTAAAGAAAACGCTATAAACTCTTCAGCAGAATTACTTTTTAGCCGATAATTTGTGCTACAAAAACGCTATATTATCAACATTTCATTAACTCTGTAACTTGGCAGCACCTTCGACCTAGCCGAATCTTAAAGCCGACTAAGTCTAGTCGCCGAACCGCTGCTGCAAAAAATTTTTGAGCTTAAGACGACTTGAACATTTCGCCATATTTTGAATAATTTACAGAATTTTCGCTAAATTTACGAAATTTTACAATATAAAATTTTAAGAAGTTTTCTTTTATCTAATAATAAGCCGCTCATTGAAATTTCGACGTCGTAAAACTTTGTTCAACGTTCGATTTATATGCTTCGCCACAGATATTTTCGAGTTTACGCGCCTTCCAGCCATGGGCTGCTAACGTCAAAGAAGCTTTGTTTGAAGCGTTGGAGGCGTCAACCATCGCCACCAAAATACATTGATTGTTTGAAAAACCGGACCAGTACATGAAACATTTCTATTTTAAATGGGAAGTGCTATTGACGACCTTTCTGCCGAATATTCTTTAAATAAAAAAAGAATAAATGATTATGTAGGAAAAAATATTGATGTTAAAGATGTTAGCTCCTTGAGATCATCACAATTAATACATAGCAAAGTTGATCTTAGTATGAATTATATAAATCTCAAATCGAATTGTTGGTCTGTCATTAAAGCTGCCCTTGTTGGTGGGATGTATCCTTATATATGCGTATTGGATTCTAAGGTTAATTGTTTTATTTCATCCTGCAGAAGAGAAATGGTTTTATATCCATTGGATTTAGACTCTATTAGTTCGTTGAATTTTGGTTGACCCTCGATAGTGTACGGAAAAGAAACAAATAGTTGTTGTATTAGTGTCGAATGTACTGTTGTGACGCTTAGTACAGTTGCTTTGTTTGCAGGTGAGTTTTAGTCTACTAATAATAATAGTTACATTTTAAAGAATTTGCAGTTCTTTAAATTAATGGCCTTTGATTTAATTACCATAATTAATTCTTAAAGCTTCCGATGTAGTTGAAGGACTTCTCACGAAGATGAGTGGAATTAAAGTGAAAAGTTGTAATAAAAATTGGTGTCGTGAGTTTAAAAATAAACCCAATTCAAAAAAAAATTAGTTGTATAACGAGAGAAATAAATAAAATAGTCTTACGAATACAGTATTACGATTTTTAAAATATTTGCTTTCAAAATGCCACTTTTAAATCTCTCGGATTCCGTTCGTATTTAAAATCGTTGAAAAATTTAAAAATAACTGAAAACTTAGCTGGATTAGAATAGGTGGCCTTCTGTAGATGAGTGGTTGCTTACTGCCGGCGTACAATCGAATTAAAGCCACCGCCTACATTTTAAGTGTCAGCAACCGCCGCCGTTAATATTTGTCGGCGCAGGGCTCTGGAGTGTATTTACATGGAATTGAATTATTTTCAATAGTGTTTTTATCGAATACAAATTTTTAATTTACGTTTAATCAACAAGAAAATCGCACAAATTTATCTTATCTCTGTAACTTTAGGCAATAACGAAGAAAAAGAAATCTTAAATAATGTGTTAAGACCATAAATTATATAGTTTATTGAAAAGAAAAAAAAAAACGAGCAAACAACAAGTGGAATTAGTAGAAAAAAAAAAACAGCCGTCTATTATTAATTTATTTAAAAATAAAATAAAAAATAAAAATAAAAATGTCCAATGTACAAGATGTGGAAAATGGTATTTATCCACAATTACAACAAAGACCACAAACCAGACGTCAGGATACTGTGGATATGGAAGAAATTCCTTTAAATAATTTACAACAGGAATCTGAAGAAAAACGTAAAATTCGTCATGTTTTTGAAAGAGTAAGTTGTAATTTTAGTTTAAAATAATCAAAGAAACAATTTTAAACTTTCTTTAGAGAGGTGAAATGATTAAAAGAAAGAAAAGTATATATTCATGATTCATTCAGCATAAAAATAAAAGTGCCCCTTTGTCTGTCTGCCTTTCTGTTTGTTTGTGTGGCCATTGCATGTTTTTGAGATTGTTGTTGTTGCAGCACGATTTTTCTTACAAAGTGCAGTTTTTGTTGTTGCCACGGTGTTTACTCCTTATTTATGAATGAAAAGTTTTTGTTAATATTGTGAAATTGTTTTTTTTTTGTTTTTTTTGTACATATTTATTTAATTTAATCTTTTGTAAATATTTAATAAAATAACAACTTTAACTTCTCTTTATGCACTTGACGCCTTTTTTAATACCCTGTTGATTTGCTTGTCATGTTTTTTTTTCAAGTAAAAACTTTTGCTATTTTTTTAAATAATATTTAATACCTATCATCTTATCTTGATATTTGTATTTCTATTTACATATTGTGGTTTTTTGCTGTTGTTTTTGTTATTTAGTTGCCGTGTACCATGAAGTCGTATGTATGTACATATGTTTGTTTGTTTGCATGAATGTGAAAACCGGTAACAAGAAATTTTTACCTTGCTCTTGTTTTTGTTTATCAAACGTTTTTTTGTTCTTCTTTTAAGAAAGTTAAATTTAACAAATTTTTTCATTATCATGTTTTTATTTTAAATTAGAACGAACGTAACATTTAGTTTAGTTTGCTTTGGATGATTTCATCGCTTTAAGGTAAACCCATTTATGAGGTTTTTGTAGGGGGTAAGGTGGAAAATTTAATTTTTATCAGGAGCGTAGTAAAATAATAACTGAACAATAAATAAAAAACCATAAGTTAAACATGACGCTGTTAATCTTAATACATCTTACCATAATATGCAAAAATAGAAAAATAATTAAACGTTCTTTCTAAGACCCAGATAGGTATGTATTCAAATCTTGCAATATAGATACATATCCGAAAATATGGGTTTTTGACCAAAAGAGGTCGAGAACTAAAATACTATTTCTAAAGTCACACACATATTAAATATTTATTAATGCAATAACATTTACATTAAATAATTACACAAAAAATAAATACCATTAAATATTTGTCATTTTGTTGATAAACTCGTTTTTTGTTTTATTACCAAAATTATCTGATTTGACCAAGATTTGTAACATTCACACGCATTTTGTATTTGTAACCATATTAGGAAATATTGCATGTTTTTATGTGCTTCTAAATGTATTTAATTACAAAAAAAGTATGTGCAAGATTTGCTTTATTTTCTTAAAAAATACAATAGATAAATGTTATTTTCATTTATACCTATAAGTCAAATAATGCATTAGTTGTACTATTAAAAATATTTCTCTTATCGTTATATTGTAAAGAATTGTCATTATGGATACGAAATGTTTGTTAAAGGTGTGTGGTTTTACTGCACTTGTGAGTAATTAGTTAATTTTATAATTTTTTCCTCAAAGATTGTTAAATTTAAGTTTTTGAGTTATTAATCATGGGGATTTTCTATGTCTATAAATCGAATGTTTTGTTTAACAAATTGTACGGAATTTCTAATATTAGTTATTGGATTAATAAGTTAAAAATAATGATCATATGCATGTTTGATGATAGAATATTATACTTTTTCCTGTCACATGTAAACATATTAAAATTTTTTTAAGATTGATTGTTGACCTACAAAGTTATATTTTCTTCATTATTCATTATTCTATCCACATGGCCCTACTGTTTAATATTGAAAATTCAAAAAACTAGTCTATAGTCTAGCGTCTAGTCTGTAGTCTATTCTAGAGTGTAGTCTAGAGTCTAGTCTAGAGTCTAGTCTATAGTCTAGTCTAGAGTCTAGTCTATAGTCTGTCTCTAGTCTAGTCTATAGTCTAGTCTATAGTCTAGTCTATAGTCTAGTCTATAGTCTGTCTATAGTCTAGTCTATAGTCTAGTCTATAGTCTAGTCTATTAGTCTAGTCTATAGTCTAGTCTATAGTCTAGTCTATAGTCTAGTCTATAGTCTAGTCTATAGTCTAGTCTATAGTCTAGTCTATAGTCTAGTCTATAGTCTAGTCTATAGTCTAGTCTATAGTCTAGTCTATAGTCTAGTCTTATAGTCTAGTCTATAGTCTAGTCTATCTCTAGTCTAGTCTATAGTCTAGTCTATAGTCTAGTCTATAGTCTAGTCTATAGTCTAGTCTATAGTCTAGTCTATAGTCTAGTCTATAGTCTAGTCTATAGTCTAGTCTATAGTCTAGTCTATAGTCTAGTCTATAGTCTAGTCTATAGTCTAGTCTATAGTCTAGTCTATAGTCTAGTCTATAGTCTAGTCTATAGTCTAGTCTATAGTCTAGTCTATAGTCTAGTCTATAGTCTAGTCTATAGTCTAGTCTATAGTCTAGTCTATAGTCTAGTCTATAGTCTAGTCTATAGTCTAGTCTATAGTCTAGTCTATAGTCTAGTCTATAGTCTAGTCTATAGTCTAGTCTATAGTCTAGTCTATAGTCTAGTCTATAGTCTAGTCTATAGTCTAGTCTATAGTCTAGTCTATAGTCTAGTCTATAGTCTAGTCTATAGTCTAGTCTATAGTCTAGTCTATAGTCTAGTCTATAGTCTAGTCTATAGTCTAGTCTATAGTCTAGTCTATAGTCTAGTCTATAGTCTAGTCTATAGTCTAGTCTATAGTCTAGTCTATAGTCTAGTCTATAGTCTAGTCTATAGTCTAGTCTATAGTCTAGTCTATAGTCTAGCCTATAGTCTAGTCTATAGTCTAGTCTATAGTCTAGTCTATAGTCTAGTCTATAGTCTAGCCTATAGTCTAGTCTATAGTCTAGTCTATAGTCTAGTCTATAGTCTAGTCTATAGTCTAGTCTATAGTCTAGTCTATAGTCTAGTCTATAGTATAGTCTATAGTATAGTCTGTAGTCTGGTCTATAGTCTAGTCTATAGTCTAGTCTATAGTCTAGTCTATAGTCTAGTCTATAGTCTAGTCTATAATCTAGTCTATAGTCTAGTCTATAGTCTAGTCTATAGTCTAGTCTATAGTCTAGTCTATAGTCTAGTCTATAGTCTAGTCTATAGTCTAGTCTATAGTCTAGTCTATAGTCTAGTCTATAGTCTAGTCTATAGTCTATAGTCTAGTCTATAGTCTAGTCTATAGTCTAGTCTATAGTCTAGTCTATAGTCTAGTCTATAGTCTAGTCTATAGTCTAGTCTAGTCTAGTCTATAGTCTAGTCTATAGTCTAGTCTATAGTCTAGTCTATAGTCTAGTCTATAGTCTAGTCTATAGTCTAGTCTATAGTCTAGTCTATAGTCTAGTCTATAGTCTAGTCTATAGTCTAGTCTATAGTCTAGTCTATAGTCTAGTCTATAGTCTAGTCTATAGTCTAGTCTATAGTTCTAGTCTATAGTCTAGTCTATAGTCTAGTCTATAGTCTAGTCTATAGTCTAGTCTATAGTCTAGTCTATAGTCTAGTCTATAGTCTAGTCTATAGTCTAGTCTATAGTCTAGTCTATAGTCTAGTCTATAGTCTAGTCTATAGTCTAGTCTATAGTCTAGTCTATAGTCTAGTCTATAGTCTAGTCTATAGTCTAGTCTATAGTCTAGTCTATAGTCTAGTCTATAGTCTAGTCTATAGTCTAGTCTATAGTCTAGTCTATAGTCTAGTCTATAGTCTAGTCTATAGTCTAGTCTATAGTCTAGTCTATAGTCTAGTCTATAGTCTAGTCTATAGTCTAGTCTATAGTCTAGTCTATAGTCTAGTCTATAGTCTAGTCTATAGTCTAGTCTATAGTCTAGTCTATAGTCTAGTCTATAGTCTAGTCTATAGTCTAGTCTATAGTCTAGTCTATAGTCTAGTCTATAGTCTAGTCTCTAGTCTAGTCTATAGTCTAGTCTATAGTCTAGTCTATAGTCTAGTCTATAGTCTAGTCTATAGTCTAGTCTATAGTCTAGTCTATAGTCTAGTCAGTAGTCTAGTCTTAGTCTAGTCTATAGGTCTAGTCTTAGTCTAGTATAGTCTAGTCTATAGTCTAGTCTATAGTCTAGTCTATAGTCTAGTCTAAGTCTAGTCTATAGTCTAGTCTATAGTCTAGTCTATAGTCTAGTCTATAGTCTAGTCTATAGTCTAGTCTATAGTCTAGTCTATAGTCTAGTCTATAGTCTAGTCTATAGTCTAGTCTATAGTCTAGTCTATAGTCTAGTCTATAGTCTAGTCTATAGTCTAGTCTATAGTCTAGTCTATAGTCTAGTCTATAGTCTAGTCTATAGTCTAGTCTATAGTTAGTCTAGTCTATAGTCTAGTCTATAGTCTAGTCTATAGTCTAGTCTATAGTCTAGTCTATAGTCTAGTATATGGTCTAGTCTATAGTCTAGTCTATAGTCTAGTTTATAGTCTAGTTTATAGTCTAGTCTATAGTCAAGTCTATAGTCTAGTCTATAGTCTAGTCTATAGTCTAGTCTATAGTCTAGTCTATAGTCTAGTCTATAGTCTAGTCTATAGTCTAGTCTATAGTCTAGTCTATAGTCTAATCTATAGTCTAGTCTATAGTCTAGTCTATAGTATAGTCTATAGTCTGGTCTATAGTCTAGTCTATGGTCTAGTCTATAGTCTATAGTGTAGTCTATAGTCTAGTCTAGTCTATAGTCTAGTCTATAGTCTAGTCTATAGTCTAGTCTAGTCTATAGTCTAGTCTATAGTCTAGTCTATAGTCTAGTCTATAGTCTAGTCTATAGTCTAGTCTATAGTCTAGTCTATAGTCTAGTCTATAGTCTAGTCTATAGTCTAGTCTATAGTCTAGTCTATAGTCTAGTCTATAGTCTAGTCTATAGTCTAGTCTATAGTCTAGTCTATAGTCTAGTCTATAGTCTAGTCTATAGTCTAGTCTATAGTCTAGTCTATAGTCTAGTCTATAGTCTAGTCTATAGTCTAGTCTATAGTCTAGTATATAGTCTAGTCTATAGTCTAGTCTATAGTCTATAGTGTAGTCTATAGTCTAGTCTATAGTCTAGTCTATAGTCTAGTCTATAGTCTAGTTTATAGTCTAGTCTATAGTCTAGTCTATAGTCTAGTCTATAGTCTAGTCTATAGTCTATAGTCTAGTCTATAGTCTAGTCTATAGTCTAGTCTATAGTCTAGTCTATAGTCTAGTCTATAGTCTAGTCTATAGTCTAGTCTATAGTCTAGTCTATAGTCTAATCTATAGTCTAGTCTATAGTCTAATCTATAGTCTAGTCATTTCTTTATTTTAGTTTATAAAAAGCTTAAACCTTCTTACTTGTTTCCTTTATTAGGAATATTTTTTGTCGCGAATTATATACTAACATATTGTTGTTGGTTTGTATTCATTTTAACTACATTAGCATTTTTTGCTTTATTATTCATAAATTTTATAAATCAATAGCTAGTTCATACAGCCATTATTAACACAAACTGTTTACAAGTGTTTTTTTTATTTTTGATGCCAAAAGTTCATTCAACTTTTCTGCTTAAATACATAGTAAAATCTTGGAATTTGTATACAATTATACAAAAAAATGAATGAAATTTATTCATTTGTAATGTTGTTTATTGTCTAATTTTTTATGTATATTTCTTTGTGTTTTCTTTTCCCTTTTTGTTTTTATTTACTTTAGCATGATGCCGATAGTGATGGTTTAATTAGTATACATGAATTAAAAGGTCTTATAGAGGCTGGCCTCTGTCGTGATATACCCGCAAATGTGGCACAACAAATTCTTAAATTATCCGATACCGATAATAATGGTCATTTGGATTTCGAGGAATTTTATCGTATGTCTCAGAAACATCAGTGGATGATACGAAATGTTTTAACAAGATATTGTCGTTTGGTGGTACCGCCGCCTAAACCTTTGGAGGGAGATCAGTTGGGTAAGTATCTTTACTAGTTTTTACTTTTTAATTAAATTTTCTAAAGTATTTTATAACTTTTTACAGATGGTGCCTATGAAAAGCAAATGTCAGTATGTCCACCTCCTTTAACTATGGTCATATTTTCTGTTGTTGAAATTATAATGTTTCTCATAGATGTTATACATTTTCAGTGAGTTTGTTCTTTTCATCTAAATTTTAATTTTTTATTAACTTTATTTTTACTTTTCTCACAATAGAGATGATCCCGATAATAACCGCCGTATTGGCGAGAGTACAAATGGCCCTGCTGCTACACTTTTTATCTATAATCCCTATAAACGTTATGAGTCTTGGCGTTTTGTTACCTACATGTTTGTTCATGTTGGCATTATGCATTTATTTATGAATCTTATTATACAAATATTTTTGGGTGTTGCTTTGGAATTGGTACATCATTGGTGGCGTGTGGCTTTAGTTTATTTGGCCGGTGTTTTGGCTGGCTCTATGGGTACATCGTTAACAAGTCCTCGTATATTTTTAGCTGGTGCTTCGGGTGGTGTTTATGCTTTAATTACCGCTCATATTGCTACAATTATTATGGTAAGTAATGTTTTTAAATTTATGATGTAGAAAAGAACAAATTGTGGGAAATTTAATGATTTAAAGTCAGGAGAATTCGATTTAGAGCTCTATAAAAAGTATAATTGCAATGCAAAGAACTGCCAGTGTTAATCAAATTAAAGGACTAGACCACATAGTAGTCAATTGATTATTCCATATATTATGTTATTAACTATCGACTTATTTATAGACTAGATAATTGACTCGTTCATAAACTAGTTTATAGAATAGTCCAATCATTAAAAAGTTAACTGGTTTATGTTCTAGTCCTTCAGAAATATGAGAATAGCCTCATCAAATCTGTAATTTGTGATATCGTGTCCTGAAGTTAAAAAAAAAAACACGATATTTTGCCCTTTTTGAGACGTTGTAACAGCGCCCAAAACAACTTTATCTATATTGTTGTTGCTGGGGTTGATAACCCTTGGTCGAATACTTAGGGTCATTCCGGTACGTAGAACCGGCTGTTGGGGAATGATGACGAACGTAGTAAACTTTACTCTTGGTGTCGTGGTCGATGAAGTCCAAATTTTGACCGTGCACCACCCAAAAATCTTGAGGGTAACATTTGATAGCCTATACTTTCTCAGTTCATGCCACTGCAATCACGCATAAATTGCGAAGTAGAAACAAGCTCCTCAAAGCGCTAGCCTGCAGCACTTGGCGTATGGATTAAGAAACCTTGTTAGCTATATATAAAACGATTGATCGGTCAGTGGTGAAACATTCAAAGCTGCCAAAATAGCGCCCTAAGGACTGTAACGGATTGATTTCAAATTACCTCGGAATATCATCTGCAAGAGGAAACGAAGGTCGTCCCAGTTAAGGACCACAATGTTATATTGACTAAACAGTTCCTCCTGGCATGTCATCGGAGGAGTCATCCCAACTTTAACATCACACAAACTTGGATACGAGCCCGAGGAATGTCAGGAAGGATCTTCATATATACAATCCAAATATGTGCAGGATCTATTATACGCAAGCTTTGAACGACATTCATAGAGATAGGATACCGCATGAATATCTTACTTGGAAGTCGCCCGCCACCCATAGCAGACATAGAAGAAAACTTGCCGCGGAAAACAAGAGTAGTTCTGGCACAATTAAGATCGGGATGAAGCAACAGGCTTAATGCCTACAGACCGTGCCATCCCCAACGAATGTTCTACATGTGGTCAAGCTCCTCATGACACCCAACAACAATAACAACTTTATATATAAGAGTATTTCTGCCACACCTAAGTTCGAGATGGAGCAACAGGCTTAATGCCTACAGACAGTGCCATCCCCAACGAATTTCCTACATGTGTTCAAGCTCCTCATGACACCCACCACATACTCAACTGCTTAGCCAACCCTATATAACTTTGTCCAATGGATTTATAAACACATCCAGTTGAATTAGCACAATTTTAGGACTGGACATTGATGTACAACCCCCCAACTAGAGTATGGTAAAGTTTAAGCTGTTACAGCAACAACAATAACAACTTTATCTCTAAAATGAAAGTCTATTCTGACAACTTTAAATTAAAACCTTAACATCTGACATAATTAAAGTTTCCCATCGATATTACCTTAATGTTAATCAATCTATTAAATGATCAGTAATGATTTTCTATTTTTACAATATTTTCTTTTTGAAAATTACCTATAGAACTGGAATGAAATGGAATATGCCATCGTACAATTACTTGTCTTTCTCATATTCTGTTTCACCGATTTGGGTACATCGATATATCGTCATATTACCGATCAACATGATCAAATCGGTTATATGGCACATTTATCGGGAGCTGTTGCTGGTCTTCTAGTGGGTATAGGCGTATTAAGGAATCTAGAAGTACGCCGTTGGGAACGTATACTATGGTGGATTGCTGTTATTTTCTATTTTGCTCTTATGATGACTGGCATATTGATACATGTTTTTTTACCCGATTATTTTCCCCGACAAGAGTACAATTGATTGAATGAAATGTTTAACTAAAGAAAAAGAGGAATCAATAAGAATAAAAGTAATTTTTAAAGCATTTTATTTTTAAGTAAAATATAACTAACATGATGATATGTTTATATAAGTAATTTATTTTTATAGCTAAAATATTAAGCCAAAGTGCCTTTTGGATTGATAATAATGACAATTTGCTAACTTTATTTTTAATTTGTTTTTTTTTCTGAATATGTATTATTTAAATTTATTAACTTAATATAAAGTTTTAAGTTACGTCTTAAACAGAATATTTATTTTTAAAAAAGACATTAAATATTTAAGTATTTTTTTCTTCAATTATGTTTTTTATATAAAATAACTGGCACGTACATGCATAGGCCAACATTAACTTTAAAAGATTTTTATTGCGAATTTCTTTTTGTCTTCATTACGGTCTTATAAAAGGAAGTTTTTTAATTAAATCCATTTATTTAGATTTTATTATTATAACTTTTTTAAAACATATTTAAATTTTATGTTTACAAGAAAATTAATTTTATTATTATTGGCAAATTATTCTTAATAGAAAGAAATTTAAGTAATTGTTTTAATATAAGTAGAAAATATTTAAAATGTTCACAATTTTGTTTGCGCTTTCAATGCAGATTTGGTAACTTTTCCAAAAGAAGTTTTTATTTTAACAAGAAATTGTTATCTTTACTTTGAAGACAATTTCTAAACACTTCATATTAGGTATAAGAAAATGTGTTTTAGTTTAAACAACTAAAACACATTTAACACACACTAACTAAATTATGTATGTACGTTCTCCACATTAATAATTTATTAACAATATCAATAATGAAGTCCTAGCATATTTATTATATGTATAATATTTGTGTTTTTATGTTGATTTTATAGCTTAAGATTTTATTTGTCATCGAACACATTTAAATGTTTATAAAGTGTGCATTTATTTTATTATGTATGCATCTATGGATTTATATTTTTTATGTATCTATATTGAAAATAAAATATATTTTACATATCTTCTTTCTAATAAATAATGTTTTTTATTTTAATAGTAAAAGGTTAAAGTATGTGGTCATGTAGATGACCTTCTATGGAGAGGCTTCCTTAGTTTCCTTTGGCCTTGTCGGTAGGAGAGGAATAACTCTGACTTCTGACCATGAACAGACTCCACAGTCATGTCTTGCTCTCCGACATGTCACTTAAAACCGTAGTTTCCACTTTTACTACTATTTCGCAACTCTGTTCGTTAGTTTTGTTCGCTTCTCCTACCCAGTACCACTGTAATGGGGAGGGTATAATACGTTTGTGCTGATGTTTGTAACGCATAAAAATATTGGTCCTACACCCACCTTAAATTATACCGATCACTTTCTAAGTCGATTAAGACATGTCCATCCGTCTGTCCGGCTGGCTGTCCATGTAAACCTTGTGCGCAACCTACAGGCCAACATTTTCAAGATATTTTGATAAAATTTTACCATACGAGGAGGATGCCTATTGAAAATGGTTGAAATCGGTCCATTAATTCACCTAGCCCCCATACAAACTTATCTTCCGATTTAGGGTTTCTAACTCATAACTACGTCAAATATACAACTATCTCACCAAAAAAATGGCACAACTAAGTTTAATATTGGCATTGCCAATTTTTATAATGATCGGCCGTCGTTTTACCCTAGCCCCCATACAAACCCCCCTTTAAAAAATAACTAACCTTTATATAAAATTACATCCCTCTTCCCAATTTGCTGAGGATCGGCCCATATTTGACTCTAACTCCCATATAAAGCCTCTTTTGGAAATTTAGTTTTTCATTTTTAAAATATACCCATGGTGTAGGGTATCATATAGTCGGCCATGTCCGACTGTACTTTCCTACTTGTTCTTGGTTTTATCGGATTACATTTTGTTCCCACGATTATGCACCTTCGAATGGACCAATAACGCAGTGACGTCGTACATGGACTGGACAACTAACTTACAACAGCGCTTTACCCTGACGCTGAGGGGAGTTGTTAGTGTTGTTTCCAACCGCTTTGACCTTAAAGATTCTTTTATGACGTGTTACCCCCATTAGTAAAGATCCTATCAACCAAGAGCGAACTTGCAATGGGCAATAACAAGCTATATAAACTGCTTATTGCCGCAACCATACCATGACAGGATGAGTAACCTTTAGTTTTACATTCTTTTAAAGCCAGAACCAATCGCGAGTAGAAATTTAAAAAGACCACTAAGCTCAGAAAGTTCAGACAACAAAGTGTAAAGTCCCATCGCGCCACGAATGTTACTCAGGCGAAGACCCTTACTACAAGTTGAGCATTCACAGGTTCTTTTTATCCTTCACATAATTGTGTATGTTTTCCTCGTATACACGAAGTTTGTTCCAGACATGCATCTCAACGGAAAAGTTGGAAAGATTCTTTCTGAGACATCCTACTAGGAACTAACTGGGGGAAACTTAATTGATGTTTCCAGATAGTTTGCAAGCAGCTTGTTACAATGCTTCGAACAGCATTTAGTCATCTTTGAATGTTTCTCCACTGGGTATCACTAAGTGAGTTTGACCACACTGGACTATTATAATTAACCACATACCGGCCTAATCGTTTTGTATTTAGACAACAAGGTTTCTTTGTACCTGTGCTGCCGACTAGCGTTTTGAGGACCTTGCACCTATTTTGCAGTTTGTGCGTGATTGAAGTGTCATGAGATGAAACATTAAGTATTTTGTCAAAGGTTTAACAATTTTGGGTAATGCTTAAATTCCGATTGGCTCCAGCGTCTACAAAGCAAAGTGTAAGATTTACATACTTCCTCCATTTGTATGTATGTGTACCTACGAGAATCCCTTGTTTACTCTATGGGGTTTTTATCAGTTGTCTCTAAACTCTACGAACGAATGACGCTCACTCTATAATCCCGGAAAACTTGTCGCATATAAAAAGAGTTGCTCTGGCCCAACTGAAATCGGTATCAGGATCAACGACTACTGACCGTGCCGGTCCTAATGATACAGTCCACATATGTATACAACTGTGCTACCCTTCTGTACTTTACTTAACACACAGAATTTATGAGTCAGTAGATGTTATTAGAACACAAAGCATCGTTTTCTGTTTGACCTACCCTAATCTGATAGGGCTTCAGAAAACACTATTGTAGGGTTGTTATTATTTATATAACATAATAATAAAAAGAATTTACTTAACAAATTTTCCAAGAATTTAACTTAATCTTAGGTTAAATTTAACATTAAGCCAAAGGTCAGTTGATTTTAGCATTTTATTTATAGACATCAAAAACAAAAAAGTTAAACTCGAATATTATTGTTCATTTCTGGAAATTAATCTTATTATAAATTATTATAATAATTCCAAGAATTATGTTCCAAGTACATCTTAAGTATGAGTGTATGTACTTATTTTTATACCACCGACTGTTAGTGTCTATAGAGATATATTATATATAATTTGTCATTCTGTGTGTAACATCGATAAATATTCATAAAGAAGCAAAATTGGAAAAAACTACTCTTTCTTCTTTTGTTTTACAAAATTGAAATCGCAAAAAATCTGTCTACCATGTAGGAATACCTTTCAATCGATGCTTATTAATGTACTGAATACGACAAAAATGTTCCTCAGCTCCCTACTGACCTTAATATAATTTTTGGTCCACAAAACAATTTTTATTGTATTGGAGAGGCATACTATTAAAATATTAACAAAAATTGGGATTTGGTTTAGTCCATTTTAGAATTTTTTAGAATTTATTAAAAATTAATAAAAATATTAATTATTATTCCGCGATAAGCCATTTTGAAAAGATAACAGAAACATTTTTTGAACATATTAAACTGAGATCAAGATTTTCAATCGCAGGTAGGGACTGAGGGGGATCATATAGGGGGGTAGGGTCAATTACATTTGGTACAGAGGTTTTGGCTTGCAAGAAACCTTCTTATGTCTAATTTCATCATTGTACTCATATTTTTAAGTTAGTAATGAGCGTTAGTCATTTTCTGAAGGGGGCCTAATATGGGAAGTGGAGTCAATTATGGATCGATCCCCATAAAATTGGGTGGAGAGATTTAGTCTTAAAAGTGACTTACTAATGTCAAATTTCATCGCTATACTCGTATTTTTAAGCCATAATGAGCGTTAAAGTCATTTTCTGATTGGGATCAACATGAAATGTGGTAGAGAAATTTTGGCTAGTAAGATACTAAACATATATGCCTGTTAACGCTGTTTTTCAGGGATACACGGGGGTCCGATGTTGCCCATTTTCAATACCAAACAAATCTTATTCTGTTCGGACTCTATCGTGTTTTCAACAGACACACGGACAGACATGCCTAGAGCATCTTAGAATTTAATAAGGACCCAGAATATATATACTTTTGTGGGTCTATGACCAACATTATGTTCGATTAATTATGGTTTGTTTATAGCTGGAGTGGGGGTATATTATGGGTTAATGGTTTATGTGTATGTTTGTAACACACATTAATATTGCTTCTATACATACCTTGTACGAAACGGCTTTTAATCAAACTGTAGATTGCAATTTTCACATATTCTTATATTGACCCAAAAACGATGCCTATGAAAATGTTTGTAATCGGTCCATTTTTTCACCTAGTAAAATAATAAATCTAGTGTGTTGTGTCTAGGATAAGCAAATAGAACTATAGGCTATCCATTAAAGTTGAATGATTTTCATCGAAAAAGTGACTTTTCATTTCGAAAAAATAACAAAACAAATTATAATTTTAAAATTAGTGGCATATAATAAACAAATTCATACTTTTACAACTGTAATTTTGTATTTTTAATGTTTAAATTAATGAAATAAACATTACTGTCGTTTAATCAAAATAAAATTACGGGATTTGTTCGAAAATTCGAATATCAAAAACGAGTAAGCTCAGTCGAAACACCTTGAAGAGGTTTACGCAAATCTAGTAGATTTCAAGCCAGTGGAAACATAGTATTATATTCGGCTGTGCCGAATCTTATACACCCACCATCAAATCATTGCCGAATAGGAATGATTCCTTATAAATAAACTTTCATATTTAAGAATCGACGCTTTTGTTAGTATCAAAACAATCTTCCCATTTATTACATATATGTAGAATTTTACCATCATACATACGTCGATATTAATATGAACATTAGGGTAATATTTGGAAGAGGGCCTTTAATAAGTCTCTTCCGAATTCAGTTCAGTTCAGTTATGGCGCCTCGCGTTAAAGTCATTTTCTGAAGGGGACCTTATATAAGGGGTAGGGTCAATAATGCATCGATCCTTACAAAATTAAACAATGATAACAAGGTTCCTATAAAATATGTTCATGTCGAATTTAATCGCTATAGATGCTTCTTTTAGACAGTTATGAGCCTTGAAATTATTTTCTGAAGGAGGGGTCAATTATGGACCGATCCTTATAAAATTTTACAAAGCGATTTAGGTTCCTATAAAATATGTTCATGTCGAATTTCATCGCTACAAATGCTTCTTTTAGACAGTTATGAGCGTTAAGGTCATTTTCTGAAGGGGACCTTATATGGGGGGTAGGGTCAATTATGGACCTATCCTTATAAAATATTACAAAGCGATTTAGGTTCCTATAAAATATGTTCATGTCGAATTTCATCGGTATAGATGAGATGATTCTTTTAGACAGTTATGAGCGCTAAAGTCATTTTCTGAAGGGGGTCTTATATGGAGGCTAGGCGAAATCGTGGACCGATATTGCCCATTTTCAACACCAAACAAACTGCATCAATATAAAATATCTGTGCCAAATTTGAGCTCGCTAGCTAATCTGTCGACTCTATCGTGTTTTTAACAGACGTACAGACAGACGGACGGACATGGCTAGATCGTCTTAGAATTTAATAAGGATACAGAATATATATACTTTTATGGGTCTTAGATGAATATTTCGATGTGTTACAAACGGAATGGCAAAAACAATATTGGGGGGTATAAAAAAGTAATGTCTTTTTATAAT